AGCTATGTGTTTTGCAAATATTTTCTTCCAATCTGTGGCTTGTCTTTTACATTCTGTTAACTTATTTAGAATTTTTGCCATAATCTTTCCCCTACTTGGAAAATAAAATTTCTTGTAATTTATCCAATGTATACACATTGGCATTTTCCTTATTTGGACATTAAAATCATATCAAATTTCACATGGCATTTTTCTGCCACAATGTTGGGAATATTCAAACCCATCTGAGACTTTTTAATGATACTAATAGGGATATGGTAATTATGGAGATCATTATAACAACCCTATGGCATAATATCATTATCCGCACTTTATAGATGAGAAAACTGAGGCTAGGTTATTCGATTAACAGTAAAAGATGGTGTTTAAACCACGGCTGGCTGACTCTGCTCTGACAATAATATTAATATGTCTCTGATCTTTATCTTTAGCTCAGGTATCTTCCATTATCTTACTAGACTGAGAATAATGGATATTTTCCCAGGTGCAAAGGCAGATATATATGTTATCATAGGCATTTGAAAATGGCAGGTGCCATGCTTTCATGCAAGCTATTATGGCAGTTATTTAAAAGAGGACTTTCAGCCTTTTACAACAGTAATAAGACTGAATGGAGACACAAATTAAACTCGATAAAATAAAAAAGGTTGAGCCTGAAACTGAGTTTATCCTTAATGGTAAATGTTGACTCATGATGCAAAGAAAAGAACATTGGAAATGAATAATGTGGAATAGGGTTTTCAGGGTTTTTTTTTCTTTGATTTTATCTACCTATCTTTGTCAAAAATCTCAAAGTAGAATCTATTTTTTTTACACAAAATTCCAGAAGATAATTCAGTTTTAGAAGTGATCGTTGCGTGTTTTGAATTCTCTGTGCCAGATGCTGCTTGTTTCACCCATTACGTGCTCTTGTGTTTCATTTGGCCTGATGTGCTTTATACCTCCCATTTCTACGGCTAAAATTTTTCTGTCAAGAATCAGTGAAGTGGCATACGCTTGAACAGTTAGTTTCTCATGCTTCATCCGACCCAGATTTACTCCCCTTTTTCCTGCTCTGTGAAACTCTCTGTCTTTTATTATGTCACTTTGGATTACATTAAGTAAATGTTTGTCATTTGTATTGCACTGAAAAAATATTTTTTCATACACTCGTTCACAATTTGTATAAATTTTAAACAGTTTATTTCCTCACTTAGTAGTTTGCCTTTTGTCATTAAAGTGAAAATAAAATGAAGCCCATTAGGTCCAGATATCTTAAAAGAGAAGCGAACATTTTAAAAGAAGACTCTTTTTAATGGAATATGGAGAAAGCTATCTTTCATTGGTGAAAAGTGTAAGCAGAGATGTGGCAGCTCTAAGACTTCATTGGAAAAATCTCTCAGAGCAATTATCATGATAAAACCATCAGAGGAAACAAGGATCTAAATGGTATTTGCTTAAGTGTCAAATATCCAAGATGTACTTCAAAGCTAAAAAATAAGGAAATATTTAGAATTTACTTTTATTCAGGAATTATTTATTAAGCAAGTACTACGTATAGAAAGCTGTGCTAAGTATTGGAATTCAAAATGGGTATGACATAGTCACTGCCTAAAACCTAGGCTAATTGGCAAAGGGTTCATTAACTAAAAAATATGTATCCATGATAGCAAGTAAATTATTGATAAGGAATGACTGTTTTAATTATGGAACAGTTCAGAATATACATAACGTACACTAATACAGGATGGCCGTAAAGTTGGGAAATAAAGATAACACTTAGTTTTACAGATCAACCCACTTGATGGCTTCTTCCAGAAGATGCTAAAGTAGGTTAATATTGTAAAAATCTGGCCGGGCGCGGTGGCTCACGCCTGTAATCCCAGCACTTTGGGAGGCTGAGGCGGGTGGATCACGAGGTCAAGAGATCGAGACCATCCTGGTCAACATGGTGAAACCC